AAAAAGCCAAGGTTGCCTACCCCTGTTCTAGAACAATAGCTCAGTATTTATTAGACTTGGGGTTTACATCGTTCCCCATTTCTGCTTCTAATTCGGAACCACAGATGCAGCAGTTTTAGATACTGGACACGTTGGCTGTCTGACCACAAGGAAGAGGAGATCAAAAATCCAAAGAAAACTCAAGAAAAATGGAATAATGCAGCTGCAGGTTTATTGAAAAGGGCAATGAAACAATACCGTGGATTAAAAAGCCATGAATTTCAGAGAGAGAAGGAGCCGCGTCCTGAGCAGTTCAAAGGGCAGGAAGAACACAGGGAGAGAAAAGCAGAAAGCCCAGACCTTCTACAGAAGGCCTTCCAGTCCAAATCTTCTCAATCCAAGACCAGCAGAAGCAGTCTCATCGTCCCTGTAACCGTGAAGATCCTTTTCTTGCGCTCTACCTCTCCATCAGTAACCACAAGGGATCCAAATAGGGTTTCCACGACCACCCAGGCGATTCCTTCCTCCGAGCAACCCTCTGCTGGGCCCCAAGGGTCTTCTCAGGATCCCAGATCCAGGAGCAGCACACGGTGTGTTTCCTCCAATGGTAACAGGGTCACAGCTGGCGGAGAGGATGGGACCAGGGATGGTCACAACGAAAGGAGGAGGCTCGATCACGATCTCTGCAGGTGGGATCTGGTTGATGGGTTGTGGGTTGATTCCATCCAGGGTTCCCAGTTCTCCAGAACTCACGCCTCCTCTGAGGTGACCATCTGCAAGGCCACCCATGCTTCCACCTTGAAGGCCACCTCCAAGACCTCTACCACCAAGGCCAAGGCCAGCCAAGCCACCAGCAGAGGGACCTCCAAAGGAACTTCCAGAAGCACCAGCAGACCCAATTCCAAACTGTGGGACGGAGGCACAAGAAGGGACGATGCAGGATGGAGGACAGAAAGCCATTGCTGCAATCTGCAAAGAAGGTCAAGAAGAAGCCAAGTCAAACCAAAGGAGAAGGAGGAGAAGACAATGAATGCACATATCTCCATCGTTTATCCTATTTCTCTCCCACCGGTTTCCAACACAAACCTGGAGAAGAAAAACGGACTTACTTGCTCTTTGAGGAGATGTTGTGAAGACAGGAGAGTCAAGTGAAGCTGTTGGATTTTGGAAAGAGGAGATGGGCTTTTTATACTCCTGTCTGGGCGTCTTGACTGGTTTTAATTGGTCAGACTCTGCCTCTTTTCTGGCTTAAAAGTTGTGTGACCCACAACTTTCTTTTCATGTGGGCTACCTAGCATTGCTCAGCAGAAAATGCAAGAGAATTAAGCTGCCATCATGAAAAAAACATATCAATCCATTTGCTTTATTTATTTTTCCCTTTTTGTTGATTGGCATAGTAGTCAGGCACAGCTGCTCTCAATTTGAGGGGAAGGAAGGAACGAATGAATTAATGAAGGAAGGAAGGAGAAAAAAGAAGTAAGCAAGCAAGGAAGGAAGGAGAAAAAAGAAGTAAAGAAGAAAGAAAGGAAAAAGGGAAGAAAAAAGAGAAGGAAGGAAGGAAGGAAGGAAGGAAGGAAGGAAGGAAGGAAGGAAGGAAGGAAGGAAGGAAGGAAGGAAGGAAGGAAGGATGGATAACCAAAGCTGCAATTCTTGAGGAAATCTTAGAAAGAATCCAACTACTTCAAAAACAATTCCTCAATTCAAGACACATCATCTGACACAATTAGCAAACATCTAGGTATTAACATAAGAACATGATTGCCATAGGAGGTCACTTCAAAGAAGTGCCCCATTAAGGATTTAACATGCTGAAAAATTGCTTCATAAGGAAGCCTGTGTATAATTCAAGTGTCATAATTATCCCCAATTCTGTGTCTTCATTTTACTGCTCTCTCTAAGGAACCAAATGGCTTCACTTAATGACCGAGTTGCCTGTCCCAGTGTCGGTGCTAAAGGAGGACAGCGTGTAGGCGCAAAATTTAGACTTACATCGGACCGACCTGCAATGCATCACCGGCCACCTTTGAAATAATGTTTGGAGTTCAATCAGATAAAAGGGAGGGATGTGTAATGGGTCTGATCAATCCAAGGGAGTTGCCCTGTTAATCTTGTGGAACCTCAGATCCCATTGACAGCCACGCTGCCTACGAGCAAGAATTTCTGAGCTGTCATATGGGATTAGGAAGGGTTTAGATGATTCCTTGACACCCCGAGGTATTTGCAAGCCGAGAGGAAGCGGTTGGTGGATTTTTAGCAATATTGCCTCCTCTGATGCCACCTTAATTTCTGCTGAGTTCTTAACGAAACTATTCTGACTCAGGAAAAAGGGTAAAACATGAGTGTTGCAAACTCAGATCATCAGACGAAGGAGGTGGTGTCCTAGACATTGGAGGATCCCAGCACACTGGTATAAAAACCCTTGGCTTCTTCAGCCATCTCAACAGCTTCACTTGAGTCTCCTGTCTCCACAAGAAGATCCCAGAAGAAGAGGTAAGGCAGATTCTTGGAGAAATGTCCATGGTTAGCTGATGCAAGGGTTGATGTTCTAGGGAAGACTTCTGATTCTTCTCAACATCAACACTTTGGGTGAAAGAGGCTCTCTGCTCGTGCCGTCATGACCAGCTTGGTCTTCCAAAATTGGTAGATGAAGTTTTTCACACTTGGTTATCTCCTAAAATCTGTGGACAAAGTGAGCTTGTCTTAGGCGGAACAGCTGGAAAAATTAGGAGAACTTATCTCGGGAAACTGGTGGGAGAGAAATAAGATAAAGGATGGAGATATGTGCATTCATTGTCTTCTCCTCCTTCTCCTCTTTTTCCTTTGTTTTGACTTGGCTTCTTCTTGACCTTCTTTGCAGATTGCAGCAATGGCTTTCTGTCCTCCATCCTGCGTCATCCCATCTTGTGCCTCCGTCCCACAGTTTGGAATTGGGTCTGCTGGTGCTTCTGGAGGTTCCTTTGGAGGTGCCTCTACTGGTGACTTGGCTGGCCTTGGCCTTGGTGGTAGAGGTCTTGGAGATGGCCTTCAAGGAGGAAGCATGGGTGGCCTTGCAGGTGGTCATCTCGGAGGAGGCGTGAGTTCTGGAGAACTGGGAACCCTGGCTGGAATCAACCCATAACCCATCAACCAGATCCCACCTGCAGAGATCGTGATCGAGCCTCCTTTCGTTGTGACCATCCCTGGTCCCATCCTCTCCACCAGCTGTGACCCTGTTACCATTGGAGGAAACACACCGTGTGCTGCTCCTGGATCTGGAATCCTGAGAAGACCCTTGGCCCCCAGCAGAGGGTTGTTCGGAGGAAGGAATCCCCCGGGTGATCGTGGAAACCCTATTTGGATCCCTTGTGGTTACTGATGGAGAGGTAGAGCGCAAGAAAAGGATCTTCACGGTTACAGGGACGATGAGACTGCTTCTGCTGGTCTTGGATTGAGAAGATTTGGACTGGAAGGCCTTCTGTAGAAGGTCTGGGCTTTCTGCTTTTCTCTCCCTGTGTTCTTCCTGCCCTTTGAACTGCTCAGGACGCGGCTCCTTCTCTCTCTGAAATTCATGGCTTTTTAATCCACGGTATTGTTTCATTGCCCTTTTCAATAAATCTGCAGCCGCATTATTCCATGTTTCTTGAGTTTGCTTTGGATTTTTGATCTCCACTCATTCTCAGGAGAAAATGTAGCATACAGCAGTCCAAGTGAGGAGTTCATGCAGTAGCTCAGAATCTGATATTCATTCATTCATCCATTCACTGATGGCTCAGAGCAACGTATTCATTCGTTCGTTCGTTCGTTCGTTCATGGTTCAGAGCAAAGTCAAGTAGGGGATGGCAAGGGAAATTTTCAAAAACCTTACCTGGGGGAAATATAATCCCTGATTTTTTTTTCCTCCCCCATCACTTCGTAAGGTCCATCTGGGACAAACTTTGATACATGAACAAACTTCTTCAACAGCAATAATAAAGTTGGAAGGGACCTTGGAGGTCATCTAGTCCAACCACTTGCGCAGGCAGGAAACCCTATACCATTTCAGACAAATGGCTGTCCAGTCTCTTCTTAAAAACATCTAGTGTTGGAGCATTCACTGCTTCTGGAGGCAAGGAGTTCCACTGGTTAATTGTTCTAACTGTCAGGAAGTTTCTCCTTAATTCCAGGTTGCTTCTCTCTTTGGTTAGTTTCCATCCGTTGCTTCTTGTCCTGCTTTTGGGTGCTTTGGAGAATAGCTTGATTCCCTCTTCTTTATGGCAGCCCCTGAGATATTGGAACACTGCTATCATGTCCCCCCCCTTGCCCTTCTCTTCATTAAAATAGACATACCCAATTCCAGCAGCTGTTCCTTATATGCTTTAGCCTCCAGTCTCCTAATCATCTTTGTTGCTCTTATCTGTACTCTTTCTAAAGTCTCAACATCTTTTTTACATCGTGGTGACCAAAACTGGATGCACTATTCCAAGTGTGGCCTTATCAAGGCCTTGTAAAGTGGTATTAATACTTCACGTGATCTTCATGTGATATAATATGTTGAAACTCAAACTAACCTAATTAGGCAGACTATGTAAACAAACCTCTACAGAATAATTTCTGAGAATCTTCATTCTTCAGAAGACGTGATAAAAAGAGCATGGACTTCAAGAACTCTTTTTGTACTGCACCTTCCTGCCACATCTGAAATCCAAAACTGCTTTTAATAGCTAAGATGCTTCTAAAGTAGGGATGTTGCATCGTCCTTTTAAAGACTGGAGTCAGTCCAGGGACTTTTGTAGAAGATGAATTTCTGTGGTTGCATAATTCAAATGTTAGTTAGTTAGTTAGTTAGATTGTAGTTCATTCTTGGTTAACACAGATTTGGGGGGAATTACTATAGACAAGCACATTGTTGCTTGAGAGCTGTTTAATATCCAGTGAGGGAAGTGACATAAAGTCAATTGTAACCAACCAGTAAATAAATCAAATTGAAAACCACCCAGAGGTATAAAACCAGAGACTCGGAGATGAGAATGCAGAATGAGTTTTATTGAAGAAGTAGGAACAAAAGCAGGAATGGACAATTATCAAAGCAACAACAATGTACAAAGCAAATAAAAGACAAAAAGAAACCACATAATACAGATCTCCTTTTCTCTTGGCCCTAAAAGGTTTAGACAAGAAGTAATGCCAGCTCAGTGGAAGAAGAAGAGCTTCAAAAAAAGTTCTAGACGCTCAACTTTGTTAAGATTCTAAGCCCATACACCCACAGATGGATGTTCATCTTCTCAGTCCATGTCAGATCCTTCCTAGACTTAGACTAATCTTTTTTTCAGAGTGACACAATGACAAGCAGGCATCCCCACAATATACCTCCTTCTTGTCCTCCTCAAGCCATAAGCCCATAAAGGCCACTGCCAGAAAGAATCAGAGATCACACTTGTTGTGTTGCCTCCAACACAAATGGGCTCACGCTGATGAAGAGGAAAGAACCAAGGATGGTCACCATGGAAGCAGGTGACTGGATGACGATCTTGATTGATGGGATCTGGTTGATAGTAGAAGAGGTGACACCAGCCAAGGCACCAGATCCATAGCCATACCCTAAAGCAAGACCTCTGTAGGCAAGAAGTTTGCAGAGCTTCTTTTCTTCATACCTTCACTTAAAACCTGTGAGCGATCAATTTATCTGGGGGATGATTTCACAAGAAGATGTAGTGCTCTTTGCCGTAAATGGTTGTGGGAATGCTGGGGAAAAAATGAAAGCAATGGGATCAACCTAGAGCAGGCAGAGAATTGGGAAAATGACAGACAGGCCAGAACAAGGCCCGACATTTGTTTGGGTCATGGAGAGTCCGGGTTTACTTAACAGGGGAGGTTGCAGGGAAGGGCGCAGATGCTGCCTCTCCAGCCGAGACGTCCCAGGCGGCCTCCAAAATAGCCGGCACCAATTTGTCCAAGACCTCCAGGGGCACATGGGGTGTTGCCTCCAACGGCGACGGGCTCACAGCTGGCAGACAGGATGGAACCGGGAATGGTGATCACAAATCCAGGGGGCTGGATGGTCACCTCAGATGGTGGGATCTGGTTGATGGGTTGTGGGATCACTCCGGCCAGGGTGCCCAGGCTTCCTGAGGTTTCGGCCAAGGCACCAGCTCTGTAGCCATAGCCCAAACCACGGCCATAACCCAAACCGTAACCAAGACCTCCATAGCCGAGACCACAGCCAAGACCCCTGGAACCGGCTGATCCGAAGCCAACAACTGGGGCGGATGCGCAAGATGGCACAGCACAAGCGGGTCCACAGTAGGCCATGGTGTTGAGTTGTGAGGTGAGTCTAATGTAGGAAATAGAGAGACATTGTGAGAATTGTGTTCAGTTAACTTCTATCACCGTATCCCTTGCTTCTTCCATCAACCAAAAGAATAACTTTAGTATGACTGGGTTTGCTAGAATTGGGATGAGATTCTAACTAACCTTCTGAAGTTAGGCTTCTTCAACCTAAGATGGCCAAGAAACTCACCAACATGGGCCATGGACTGTGGAAGGCAGAGCTGGAAGTTCAATTCTTCCTTTTCTTAGAGGGGAGAAGAAAAATTTGAAGAAAAAGTCTGGCTTTAAAGACAGATGGTAGGTGGCAGTGGTGACTTTCTTTGAACACCTCCATAATTTTTGAAGCCCACTTTGGACTCAACATGATGGCCCTTGACTAAATCCTCTGACTTCAGTAAGAAGTAAAAAAAAAGTTCTAGAAGAAACCAGAGGCACTCTGCTTCTTTGCCTCTGCCAAGAAAAAGGCATGGTTGAAGCCTTCAAGGTTCAATATGCCCCATTGTTTTCACCTTGGACCTGAGGTAGGGGAGAAACCCACATTTCTATATCTCCTGACTCCATCAAACATAAAAATACCTTGTCAATATTAGCCTGTACCATATGGTTTTAAGGCCGAAGAGAGTGCTTCTTTCTTTGGCCAGCTGATGGCCAAACCTCAAGGAGATCAGGAGAAAGCTCCTCCCATATTTTTGTCATCTTCTCCAAAACTAAGATTAGATCTCAATTACTCAACTGGTTTCATGTCCTCTGAGTAAGAAGTCAAGGTTGTGTCCCAATCTGTCATTCTAGTTAAGAGTTAGGTTAATCGGTGACCCTCAAACATTTGTCATTACAACCTAGATTTGCAAGCATGACTATCCAAGCTATCTCAAAAAGACCTGATTGCTTTCCAGTATCCTATCCATAAAGTCCATTCTCTTTGGATGGTAAGCTAAAAATAGAGAAGGAGAGTGGAAAAACTCAAAATGAAGCCCTTCTAGTCCTTCAAATAGAAAGGGTGAAGCCGGTCCTGAAAGCAGAAGCATTCAGAAGCATTCTAGCTTACGATAAGTTCAATATCTTAAGAATCTTACTGGCTTGAAGATCTAACCAGGAACGAATTTATCTGAGTCTTACCTTCTTCGAAGAGAAGTAGTGAAGACAGGAGAGTCAAGCAGAAGCTGGTGGCGCAGCAGAAAGCAGAGGGAACTTTTATACGATTCTGTTGGCGTCTCCAGGAAGTTGGGACTCAAGACATTTCAACTGGCATCCAACCATTTGCTTGGCTGGCATTCAAAATGAAAAAAAAAAGGTTCTTCATTCAGCAAAAATTGTCGCATTGGCACTTTGAGGTACAATCATCAAGTCACCACAAATAAGCTACTGAATTATCTGTGTCCTTTCAGGTTTGCCAACTTCACGTCAAATGCTTCTGTTTATCTGAACTTATCTGATCTTGTAGAGGTGCCAAGGTAAGATCAAAGCTGAGTTGTTGATGTCCTCAGGAGCAGCTCCATGAAAATGGGAGCATTTCCTTGAATCAGCACAGAAACCCAAAGCTACCTTTGACTTCAAGGTGGAGAGCTTATGACTCTGCAAATATCCCTGAATCAACCCAAAACATGGGAAGGTGGAAACATAATGTTCTCAAGGCCTTGTTGAAAATACCAGTAACCCAACTTTACATTTGAACCTAAGGCCACCTGCTCCAAGTTAAATCCACTCAGCAGTGATATCTAGAGGGGGAAGCATCCTGGAGGTTCCATCACCAATGGAATGTCACCTCCAGAACCTCAGTGTTCAATCTTCTCATGATGGTCTTGTCGCCTCCAGAAGCTCAGAGTTGAAGTTTCTCCATGATAGTCCCCCTTCCGAATATTTGGTTTATTCCAAATGTTTTGACGTAGGCTAGTAAGTTTTCAAAGAACCATGAAAATGTCTATGGAAACAAAGAAAAGAAAAGAAAAAAAGAAAAGATCAAAGGGACAACCACAACTTATGTGGGTGACAAAATGCTAAGTCTTTAGCTATTTATCTCTACTTATTAAAGTAATTTGGGGTAAGGAGATGAGGCTGTGCCCACATATTAATCAACGCCACAGGCAAAAAGGGGCGTCTCTAAACGAGGGTGGAGACAGAAAAACAGTATAAAAGAGCTTCTCAGGCCGAGAGCTTCCATCAGCTTCATCTGCTCCTCCTGACTGCTTCTCTAAGAGTCTCTCTGGTGAGTCCCCTGCATTTCAGACGTCTTTCATAGCTGTTTTTGCTCTTTGTTTCATGAAATGGGGTGGCATGGAAGATTTACAATATATTCCATTCAGAATCTGATTGAGGAAGGCAGGGAGGGAGGGAGGGAGGGAGGGAGGGAGGGAGGGAGGAAGGAAGGAAGGAAGGAAGGAAGGAAGGAAGGAAGGAAGGAAGGAAGGAAGGAAGGAAGGAAGGAAGGAAGGAAGGAAGGAAGATTTCAAACAATTCAGTCACCTCTTAAGAAGAGCCTAGAGAAATGTTTCATCCTAATCTTGAAGCAGCATTCAGAAAACATGTTTGTCTCAGAATGAGTTACAGCTACCTATATTTCATTCAAACAGTAGAAAAAACTTCCATATTTGTAGAACTATGAAATACCCATGTAATTGTAATTGTTGTAGCTTCTCCATCTCTGGAGACTTTTGAGAAAAGACTAAACAAAGACTTCTTGATCCTATGGTCGCAATGTCCCAGTTTGGACTTTTCCAGGTGATTTCCACAAAGCAAAGTCAAAAGGGAAACCTGGATTCTTTTAACGGCCAGGGCAAAACAGGTTGTAAAATCAAGTGTTTCTTACATAACGACTGCATCACTTGGCAATGGGATCAAAATTTGACAATGAGCATGGATTTAGGACAGTCCTAAGTGTGATCAGTGGAATGACTTGCCTCCAGAGGTTGTGGAAGGTTTTAAGAAGAGATTGACAACCACTTCTCTGAAATAGTCCAGGGTTTCCTGCCTAAGGAAGGGGTTGGACTAGAAGACCTCCAAGGTCCCTTCCAACTCTGTTATTCTGCATGTTGAGGACCACCTGTCCATGATAACAGGAAGAGTCTTCCGTTTCTTTTTTGATGCAATTCATGCTGTGTGTGTGAATCATAAAACCCATGGTTGTTCTTCTTCCAACAGCTCTTCCATCCATCCAGCCATGCCTTACTGTGGACCTTCTTGTGCTGTGCCATCTTGCGCATCCGCCCCAGTTGTTGGCTTCGGATCAGCCGGTTCCAGGGGTCTTGGCTATGGTCTCGGCTATGCAGGTCTTGGTTATGGTTATGGTTTGGGTTATGGCCATGGTTTGGGCTATGGCTACGGAGCTGGTGCCTTGGCTGAAACCTCACGAAACCTGGGCACCCTGGCTGGAGTGATTCCAAAACCCATCAACCAGGTCCCACCATCTGAGGTAGTCATCCAGCCCCCTGCAGTTGTGGTCACCCTCCCTGGTCCCATCCTGTCCGCCAGCTGTGAGCCCGTTGCCGTTGGAGGCAACACACCCTGTGCCCCTGGAGGTCTTGGACAAATTGGTGCCGGCTACTTCGGAGGCCGCCTGGGAAGTTTCGGTCGCCGTGGAAGCATCTGCTCTCTCCCCTGCAACCTCCCGTGTTAAGTTAACCCGGACTCTCCATGACCAAAAATGGATTTGAGAAGATTAGTTAAGGCATGTCTGGGTCCTACATTGGCCTGCATCTAGCTTTCACAAGTCTCTTTCCTGTGTCTCTTAGCCACCTTCAGCAGATAGTATTATGCCTTCCAGTGAAGTTAGCCCCCTGCTAAATTGATCCAGGAAGGGTTTTGAAAAGTTATGAAGGAAAGAAGCTCTGCAAACTTTCTAGGCCCTTTTTTCTCGCCAGCCCTGTAAAATTATTTCTCAAACAAGAAATGTTGATAGCTTTGGACCCTTTGGCACATCTGATGGGCACTCTCGATGTTCTTTCTTTGCACTTTAATAAAAGTGATTCTGCATTGCAAACTAATGGCTCTCCTTGGTTGTAATTTGAAGATGGGCAAAGATTTCTCTTGGTGGCCATGGAGGTTTTCTCCATGTAGCCTTGGTGGGAAGGGGTGGGAAGAGAAGGGCGGCTAAGGTTCCCCTGCTGATAAATAAGGTGAGTGAGGTAGATCATGGGTTGGGTTTGTCCTTTGCATTCATCCACACAAATATCGTGGTCAAATCTGGTAGAAGGTCTATCACAGACATCTCTCTTCTGCCCCTTTCTGCCTTGCTGACACCCCATCTGGAGAATGTTGTACAATTCTAGGCTCCACATTTTGAGAAGGATATTCAGTTTGGAGAAGGCTCTGGGTAAAGTGACAAAGAAGACATGGGGTCTTTGTTGGTATAGGGTCTCCTGCTTGAGCAGGGGGTTGATCTAGAAGACCTCCAAGGTCCCTTCCAGCTCTATTCTGATTGATTGATTGATTGATTGACTTGAGGTCTTGTGAGGACAAAGGAACATGAGATTTTCAGTCTGAAGTCAGCAAACATATGGGACTCACCATAGGTCCACCATAGGACCAGGTTCAGGCCCATAAAGGGGAGGTACAATCAAGATATTCATGGGCTATCTCCCATGGACCCCAGAGGAACAAGTAGAAGTTGCCAGATCTAGATGGCCACTCAAGTTTAACTGATCAAATATAGTTATCCAAAGCATGAAGGTCAATGAGTTTGATTCCCTAAAGAGGGTTTGAAGTCCCATAGAACAACATCTCTCTTCTCACCTCTGAGAGCTTAAGAGAAGTTGGCCTATAGATCCCATTCTGGCCTGACTTGATTATACAGAACAGACAAATCAAAGTCCCCAAGATAGAAAGAGCTTTTGGAATTCATTGTTACTGAGGACAATAATGACGACCACAGAATAAAAAGGTTTCACCAGGAATGAGGTCCTATTGCTCGCTGTTCTCCAGGATTACCAATCAAAGCTGGAAACATAGAGTTTAGGATGACACTTAAACTCTCAGTTCTGGGTTTCCTGGAGACATGCTCTGGCATTTGCAAGGGGCCCATGTTTCCGAGATCCCTCTTCTCAAACAGGGGTGATCAGTAGATAGAGCCTCTTTGTAGAAAGGCTGTTTAATCCTTGTTCTTTACCCTATGTTATACCCCTACCTATTTTATTCCCTCCCCATTCCTGGGTAAATCCATACCATAAAATAATCCGAACACATATATTATTACACACACACACACAGACACACATACATACATATATATATATATATATAGGCTGTGTTAAGGATCTGCATCCTGAGTTGGCTGCAGCCCTCACTGAATGATGTACCTGCTACATTTTTGTGGTGTGCGAAGTTGGGTTAGAACAGCTGGATAAACAGGGTCTGGAAGAAGAAGGGAACATTCTGGAGTTCATGGAATCTTCTGGAATTCCCCAATCGGTTCCAATGAGCGACTGACTGACTCACTGAATATATAATGTAATGTAATTAGTGTAGTGTAGTGTAGTGTAGTGTAGTGTAGTATAATATCATATAATAATAAAATATAATTAATAAAATAAAATAAATATGAAGAATTCTATATGCAATGTATGAAAAGATCCCTTGAACCTCTTTGGCCCCAAACTGAAATCTTTTGACACATCCAATTTCTTCCCTTCGCTGAAAAATTTCCTCCTGGGAAAGGCTCACCTAAATGACCCACCTTGAGCAGAGCATAGGCCCCAGGTCGGCAACCTGCGGCTCCGGAGCCGCCTGTGGCCCTCTGAGCCTTCCTTCCCCTGAGGCTCCCGGCCGCCATTTGCAGAGAGAGACAGAGAGAGGCACTGGCCTTCCTTTCTCTCTCTCCCTCTGTGTTTGTGTGTTTGTGTGTGTGTGTTTGTGTAAAAACAAAGAGAGAGCGGACTCACGGTGTTCCCTCAGGAGCCGAAAAGCTGACTGGGTGGGGCTTCTGCAGGAAACAGGAAACAGGAAGCAGGAAGGGCAGGCGAGAGCTCGCTAGCCCAGCTCGGCTGGCTCAAGAATTCTGGGAGTTGAAGTCCGAGAGTCATAAAAGAGCCCAGGTTGCCTAGCCCTGAGTTTGTTGTAGAACAGATTGAAGCCAGCTGGCCAGGTGAGCAGAAGATCAGAGAGAGAGGGAGAGAAAGAAAGAGAAAGGGAGAGAGAGAGGAAAGAGAAAGAAAGAGAAAGGGAGAGAAAGAGAGGGGGGAGAGAGAGGAAAGAGGGAGAGAAAGAGAAAAAGAGAGAAAAAAGAGGGAGAGGAAAGAGAGAGAGAGAAAGAGAGGAAGAAAGAGGGGGGAGAGAGAGGAAGGGAGAGAAAGAGAAAAAGAAAAAAGAGAGGGAGAGGAAAGAGAGAGAGAAAGAGAGGGGGAGAGAGAGGAAAGAGGGAGAGAAAGAGAAAAAGAGAGAAAAAAGAGAGGGAGAGGAAAGAGAGAGAGAAAGAGAGGGAGAGAGAGAGGAAAGAGGGAGAGAAAGAGAAAAAGAGAGAAAAAAGAGAGGGAGAGGAAAGAGAGAGAGAAAGAGAGTGGGGGAAGAGGACTGGCAGACCAAGGGCAGAAAGAGAGAGAGGGAGACAGACACACAGAGAGACCCTTTTGACATCTAAAATGAAGATAACACTGCATATACCCTTTTTTACCTTTATGATATATATCTATATCTGTCTGTCTGTCTTGAAGCCAGCTGGCCAGGTGAGCAGAAGATCGGAAAGAGGGGGAGAGAGGGGGGGGAGAGAAAGAAAGAGAAAGAGAGAGAGGAAAGAGAGAGACCCTTTTGACACCTAAAATGAAGATAACACTGCATATACCCTTTTTTACTATATATATATATATATACACACACACAAACACACACACACAAACACACACATACCCATACACACACACACACACACACACACACACACACACATCTAAATTTCTTTTTCTGACAAAGAGTTAAAGAATTAAATTGGGAGACTAGATTTGGGAATTGGGAGACTGGTTGGGAGACTGGATTTGTAATGTTTCGCAGTTGCGACTTGAGCTTCCTTAATGCCCCTCGTTGGGGGGCTGCAAGGCAAAAGAGATTGTAAAAAGTAAAACTGCAGTATAGCAGTTAAAAATGTCAAGGGGTATTATATATATATAATATACAGACACACCTATAATAAAGGTAAAAAAGGATTTATGCAGTGTTATCTTCATTTTAGATATCAAAAGAGTTTTGCGGCTCCCAGTGTTTTGTTTTCAGTAGGAAACAGGTCCAAGTGACTTTTTGAGTGTTTTGGGTTGCCTGCCCCTGTGCTATGGGGAACTGTGGTGGCAGAAGAGGGACAAGTCTCTGAGCATCTGTTTGCAATCACCATAAAGGTTGACCCCTGGGAGAAACCAACGGCTGGGCTAAGAAGGACCTTGGATTGTTTCATCTGAAATCTTCTTAGTGTCCTCGGAAGCCCTGAAGGCAGATTTGCCTTTGAAGACAAGAATCTTCAGCTTTAATTTTATTCGCTCCAACCCATGCTACAACGGATGGAGGTCAAAGGAAGACAGAGACGTGGGTTCAAATGAAGCACATTTCACTTTATTGGAAGATACAGAGAAGTGACATTAAGAGAGACGAAGCTGGTGAAGACTTATTTTATATAAGCAAAGGGAGCAGGACTTTGGGCATTTTAAAACAAAGATGGGGAAAAACAAAGAGTAGGAGAAGTCCAACAGAGACATCAGAGGTCTTCTGTGCCAATTTTATCCATCTAAAGACAAACGCAACTGGTTTGTCCAAGATCGCGGCAGTCCAGGCTCAGATACGCTTGATCCATTCTTCTCAAATCCGTTTTTGGTCATGGAGAGTCCGGGTTAACTTAACAGGGGAGGTTGCAGGGCAGAGCGCAGATGCTTCCACGGCGGCCGAGACGTCCCAGGCGGCCTCCGAAGTAGCCAGCACCGATGCCTCCGACACCTCCAGGGGCACATGGGGTGTTGCCTCCAACGGCGACGGGCTCACAGCTGGCGGAGAGGATGGGACCAGGAATGGTGACCACGACTGCAGGGGGCTGGATGGTCAGCTCAGATGCTGGGATCTGGTTGATGCAGGAGGGGATGACTCCGGCCAGGGTGCCCAGGTTTTGTGAGCTTTCGGCCAAGGCACCAGCTCCGTAGCCATAGCCCAAACCATGGCCATAACCCAAACCGTAACCAAGACCTCCATAGCCGAGACCACAGCCAAGACCCCTGGAACCGGCTGATCCAAAGCCAACAACTGGGGCGGATGCGCAAGATGGCACAGCACAAGAAGGTCCACAGTAAGGCATGGCTGGATGGATGGAAGAGCTGTTGGAAGAAGAACAAGCATGGGTTTTGTAATTCACATAGAGCATGAATTGCATCAAAAAAAGACAAGAAAGGCGTCTGAAGTGCAGACGACTCACCAGAGAGACTGTTGGAGAAGCAGTCAGGAGGAGCAGATGAAGCTGATGGAAGCTCTTAGCATGAGAAGCTCTTTTATACTGTTTTTCTGTCCCCAACGCTCGCTTAGAGACGCCCCTTTTTGCCTGTGGCATTGATTAATGTTTGTGCACAGCCTCATCTCTTTATCCCAAATTACTTTAATAATAGGAAATGAACACGAGTTGAAGACTTAGCATTTTGTCAGTCCCACAAGATGCTGTTGGCACTTTGAACTTCCTTCCTTCTTTCTTTCTTTCTTTCTTTCCTTCCTTCCTTCCTTCCTTCCTTCCTTCCTTCCTTCCTTCCTTCCTTCCTTCCTTCTTTTCTTTCCTTCTTTCTTTCTTGCTTTTTCTTTCTTCTAAATGCACTTTATTTCTAGCCTTGCTGAATACAAAACAGCATTCATATATCCTGTGTATAATTTCAAATTTCAAGATTTCATTCAATTTTTTGATTGCTACTGACATTTCTTTCTCCTCATCCCTGTTGCATCAGGAGCAATGATTAGAATCACTGATCTATTATAAACGTAATAGCAATATTCAATAAAGATTTATTTGATTTTTATTCAAGCTGTCCATTCAGAAGATAGAGGTCAGAATTTGGAGAGAAAGGGAGAAAAAGAGAGTGTCAAAGGGAGGGAGAGAGGGAGAGGAAGAGTGAGGGTGAGAGAGAGAGAGAGGGACAATGAGAGAGAGGGGGGGACCGAACTGGCTGTTACATAAAGTTTGGAAGCTTTCATAGGGGGTCTTCAGAGAGAGACTGGATGGTCACCTCTCCCTATACAGCAGAACCTGTATAGAACAAATGTGGGAATATAGAGGTCCCTTCAAACTCTCTGGGTCCAGAGAAGAAAGTGGGATTTATCTATCCTGCTCAGCCATGTTAACTAAGTTTTTTGAACAAACCATATTTATCAGAGCTTGAGAACCTATGTACCAACAGCAGGATGTGATCTTCACACTGCTCCAAATGTGCTCCAGAACAGACATGTTTTCACGACTCAATGAAAACTTACTAAAGTTGGGTTGTTCAAACATTTGGGTTAAATAGTTCAGAAAGGGGGACCATCATGGAGAACGTTTCAACTCTAAGCTTCTGGAGTTGGTGATGGGACCTCCAGGATGCTTCCCCCTCCAGTTATCACTGCAAAGTAGAGTCAATCTGGAGCAGGTAACTTCAGGTTCAAAGTGAACTTGGGTGAACTGGTTTTCAACAAGGGCTTGAGAATACCAATTTTGTATCTTCCCATGGATTAGGAAGGTTCAGAGATACCTGCAGGGTCACAAGCTCTCCACCTTGAAGTCTCTGAGTCTCCTTGTTGATCCACAAAAAGGTTATCATTTTCACAGAGTCGCTACTGAGGACAATAAACCAGCTTTGATCTTGCCTCATGGGTGTTGCTCACTTCCAAGATCAGATAAACAAACATCTGACTTGCATACTTGAAAGGAAGACCAGGAGTAATGGTAGCTTATTTATGGTGACATGATTAATGCACTTCACAACAGCAATTTGACAGTTTGTGCTGAGTGGAGTCCTTTTTTCTTCCCTTTCTTTTTCTTTTGAATGCCGGAAATGCAAATTGTAGGAAGCCAACTAAAATGTTACGAGTCCCATCTTCCTGGAGGCACAGAGGAAATGGTATAAAATCTCCCTCTGCTCTCTGCAGTGCCATCAGCTTCTGCTTGACTCTCCTGTCTTCACTTCTTCTCTCTGAAGCAGGTAAGACTTTCTACTCAGAGAGAATCCCTCCTGGTTGCAAGCAGATGAGGTAGACCTTTAAGCCACAATCTTAAGATCCAAGATTTGGGATCTTTTTCTTCCGGATTTGGATCTTATGATAGGCTAGAAGGCTTCTGAATGTTTCTGCTTTGAGAACCAGCTTCTTGAAGGACTAGAAGAGCTTCATGTTGAGTTTCTTCCTTTTTCCTTCTCTATTTTTAGCTCTCACCATCCTTAAAGAACAGGCTTTATGGTTAGGGCCCTGGAAAGCAAGGCAGCCTTTTCGAGAATGCTGAGGTAGATCTTCA